TCTTGGCCGGAAAACGAAAATGGAGAGAATTCCACGAAATTTGTTGTGTACATACTTGATGAGTTAAGGAACAAAATTGTCGAACAGTTTTTTAAAATAACTTTTCAAAAAAAAAGTTATCTTTTAGGATCTTATTGACTCTGGCCGTGAACCCCGCCGCTCTTACAAATTTTCAATTAGATACATACATATACATATAGGTATAATACATATTGCAATAGGGTTTTGCAAAAAAGGGAGTTAAACCCTCCGAATATAAGTTTTATGTATTTACCTTGATATTTATTAAATAATTTCTCCCTTTCCATTTCTTGAAAATTAACTTCAAAACCTGCGTTCCTTTGTGTTTTCTTCTTTTTGGCGAATTGAATTATCCGACGATTTTTGGTCGAACCGTAACGCAACCTTTTAATCTGAACAGTACAGGGTCTGTCTACAAAATCTAGAAACGATTCTAACAGAAACTCAATTGCGACCGACCGACACCGTTGATACTTCTTTGGATCGCTAACGATTCCCTTCAAAAATTTCCTCCCTCTGCCTTCATCTTAATTTGTTTTAACTCAAGATGGCGAGGGCGATCGCGTTTGTTTAATTCCGCAGTCAGGACTCAATATAGCTCAAATTGTAATCAAACAAGTAACAGAAAATATAGGCATCGAGATCTCAGAAACTGCGTGATCAGGATCACTGTCATCAGAACATAAAGTAGAAACCACTTGTTTACCACCTACAAACAATGACCCCATGTCATTAGCATCTTTCCAACTAGGTGACACTGAAGGCTATTGAGAGACAGTCCGATCTTTAATTTTACATTCGTCGGTTTTCTCCAAAACTACACTAGCGAAACACGAGGTATGGAAGATGTTTTTCGTTCAAGAGCTGTTTGCATATACAGTGATATTCATTTAGAAGTAGACATAGGGATTTCCTGTTACATATTAATTAATTGGAATATTATTGCTTTGGCTTCCGTATTTCTTTTTTCGTTGGGGTGCGATGTATTCAACTGAAGAAAAGTTAATATTGTCAATTGGTATAGTGCCGGTAATAGTTTAAGGAGCGTAAGAAACTTATTTTCTGTGTTGATCACTTTAAAATTAGTGGTTATTTAAATGCGGTCCACATAAGACACCGTAAACAACCCTCATTTTTAACGGAGGATATGAGAATAAATGTTTTCATTTTTGTGGAAGAGAATCCCATAAGAAATTTAAGGTAAATAGCGGTCAAATTTAATATCTCTTTATGATAACTTAAAAGCATTGAATAAGGGTATTACTTATTCAATGATACTATTTACTGTCGTTTTTATTAAAATCTAGAATGGGTGCGCATGTTATTTCGGTTGCATAAAATTAGGCGTCTTTCAGAAGGTTTTTTGTCATTTAAAAGTAGACATAGGAAATCCTTCTAAATGAATAACACCGTATATTGATGGCCGACGGGTAACTTAGGATCTCCTACACGCACTGAAGCAATGGATCAGCATCGCATATTTTACTAAGTATATTAGAGGCGGGAAGTTGAAACCTGAAGCTGAATGGAAACAATTCTGAGTGGCCTAGCCTCACAGTGACTTGTTGAAACTACAAGTAGCATGCTCAATCAGTATCTTTGTTCCAACTATGCGGAAGCTGTGGAAGGCAATTTTTTGATTTATCGATCCAACACCCATGTCCATGAACCTAGCAGAGCAAGATCAGCAGCACACAATCAAACATTGCATAATTAGGTGCTAATTAAGTGCCCTATTCCCGAATTAAATGCTCCTTTTTTAAAAAAAATTTTATTACATGTTTTGCCAGGTTCATATGAACTCAGTAAAACACTACCTCAAAAAACCAACAAAATGAAAAGTGAACTAACTATAATTAGGTGCTAATTATTAAGTGCGCTATCCCCGAATTAAATGCTCCTTTTTTAAAAAAAATATTACATGTTCTGTCAGGTGCATATGAACTCATCAGAGTACTACCTCAAAAAACCAAGAAAATGAAAAGTGAACTAACCATAATTAGGTGCTAATTAAGTGCCCTATCCTCGAATTAAATGCTCTTTTTTTTAAATTATTACATATTCTGCCAGGTTCATATGAACTCAGCAGACGACTACCTTAAAAACGCAAGAAAATGAAAAGTGAACTAACTAATAATTAGGTTTTATCTTAATTATCAAGTATCACATAGCATCCTACGTCTCGTGCCCGTGCTACGCTTACACTTTTTATAATTCAACGCAAAATATAGCAATTTGTTTTCGAAGTACGCCTTTGTAAAATTTGTACGAACAATTTTTGTAACTTTTTGCGTTTAAAGCAATAAATTAGCACCTTTTAATACACCAAATCACGAACACTTAAAGACGTATTTGCTTTTGTAAACACAGTGCCTGTCTGCCTAAATCATGTAAATAGTAGAAGTAAAAATAAAAAAAGGAAAAGCACAAAATTTGAAAACAGGCCACTTAATTAGCACCTAATCAGCATCTAATTATTAGTTAGTTCACTTTTCATTTTCTTCGGTTTTTAAGGTAGTGCTCTGCTGACTTCATATGAACCTGGCAAAACATGTAATAATTTAAAAAAAAACATTTAATTCGGGAATAGGGAACTTAGTTAGCACCTAATTATGCAATATGTTTGATTGTGTTCTGCTGACCTTGCTCTGCTAGGTTCATGGGCATCCAACACCCGTAGGTGATGGCAGACTCATATTTATGTAAAATGCATTCTCAGGTATCATACTCGATTTTGAACACAAAATCTTCACAGCGAACGGCTCTCTCGTACTTTGAAAACAACATTTCCTGCAATTTTCCAATGACAACGTGTAACTAGAGTCCTAGTGCGGGAAATAAATAAATTTTATATTTTATAGCAGATGTTAAATTGACACTTTAATAGGTTTGCTCGGGTTTGAATGAGTAGGCTAGATCGCTTTTTAATCGTGAGGGTATATAAAGTGATCAGGGTAGATCAAGTAACACAGATGACTGTGCATTCTAATGACATCTGTCATTCTTGTTTGAAACGGGACGCGGGGCATGAACGACCACGACAGCAGAACCTAAGCTTGCTATTTTCGACGTCTAAATTAAATTCTGCTATAAAATAAAGGTTTATATTATACACGACGATACAGGGAAACTAACCATCTCGTGAAAGTTAATTCACTCAATAGTTAAAACACATAGCGATCAAAAATGAGTGACCGTCGAGTCACCTTTGAAATTTTTGTTTACATGGGAAATCGTACTTAACTTACTTAGCGTCTTGTATTATACTCGTAAATAACTAAAATTAGACAAGTGTTGGTGTCAGAAATCAATCAATTCATAACAAAACGATTTCGCCGCCATGTTAGGGTACTCCTTATATGAACTGTAAAAGTCAATATACTCAAATTGTAGAAATGCTCGGAACTAAATGTCCCTTACATATTCTGAGATTTTCTATAGGCATTGAGGGAGGGTGGTAGCTGGTAGTTTACAAACTGGTACACTGTATAAAGAGCGTATCGGTAAGTATGTCAGTAATTAACTGTTTACATTTTTACTTGTAGTTCATAACCTTCAAAAATAATGTTTATCGTGTAGGATACCTACCGTCAACCATTTATAGTATTATAAGTGGGTGCAATTACATTAAATTTGTACCTATCGACATCGAGTCCTGCAATTTGTTGTTCCAAGGTTACCAATTTTGGCAAGTTCAAGGAAGTCCAACGGAAGTACAATCGCATGCAATTCCCAGCTAAATAAGGACATCGAAAACAAGTTTACGACGCTCCTAAAAAATAACTAAGTAGGATGTATTTTGTTGAAATAAAATTGAAGACCCATGGAACTGTTCGGGGAAGATAAATGTGAGGTTATGGCAGTTAACAATTTACAAATATTAGTTTTATTACGGTTCACCTGGATGGTCAGTAACAAAAGCGCTTTTCAATATAGCCCTGCGATGACAAATGACCGTTTATGATGATGCATGATGCGAAAGGGATTGTTCAACCTTTTCTATACTAAAGACGAGGAGTTGGCGCATCAAATTTTGTAGTTTATTACAACTCTTTCACTATCAATGATTATTTGGCCTTTCGTGCAGTATTTGTCTTCATTATTAATGAAAGCTGTACTTTACGATAGTGTTTATAGCTGCAGCTTTTCCATGAAACAACATGGAGCAGCCAGCGTATTAGACAAAATGTTAACAAATTAAAATATTAAATTACCACTTTTTTTTTTATAAATAACTTCACAAAACTGTTTTTGGTTCCACTATATTTATTTGACCAATTAGTTTGGAAAAGTCTTCTCAGACCAAAATTAGTAAATTTAAAATGGTACCATATTCCACATTTTCACCTGAAAGCCTAAAGGATACGACGAACTAAAAAGGACGTCTTGGTTTTGAAATTAGATTAAAACTGAAACCAAACAAAGCGTGGCGTCAATCGGAAACAATGGTATCCCTATATCCACTTGAATAGCATTGCTTTGTGTTTCTCGTTTGTATCTATTGTGCCTAAGAAGTCCGCTTTTCAACGAAATAAATTTGTTTTCAGAATGTTGGGCTTATTGTAGAACAGAGCATGGTTTTGTTGTAATTATGCAAACGAACTCTTAGCGAAAAGTATAACTTTTTTCACATGAGAAGTATAGTATCCTTTGATTAAATTTGTAACCGATTTGCATACGAAATTATGTACACATTTCCGTGTCATATAATTATAGTTTAGAGCAGCGCAACTGCCTACCCAATTTATTTAAATAAACAAATTGGATTGAAGAGTTACTTACCGACAGTGATACTTGGTACCTACATTACAATTCAGTTCATAAATAAAACTATTTAGGAGTTATTAAAAATAAAATTACGCGATGTTTAGCAAATAAAAAAATAAATGAACTCAATTTAGTTTTTGGCGACGCATTCTAAAAAGCGTCTACATAGTATGGGGGCGTCAGCGCGCTGCTGAATATCGCCGCGACGACTTTCTAACGCGCGCAGTCGTACGCGCGACATCTCGCAAGTTGTTCTATTTGCGAAAGACGAAAAGTACCAACTACAGTTTTCGAAGCTCGTAAACCAAAAGTTAAAAACTTTTTCTCTTGTATTGTTTCTTAAACATATTAACCAAGTGTCCTCCGCGGTTGTGTAAAGAAAACTTTTGTGGTTCAAAAAGTGAAATAGCTTCGTTAGTTTCATTGTCAGTTAAAAGGTTGGTCAGTTTTATTTTTTATTTATTTCTTTGAATATACTAATGTTGCGCAAAGTACGCGTGATGAAAAGAAGATAAAGAAGTACCTGCAGGGAATGTGTAATTAACGCCAAATCAAAGTAGCTAAAAGTATTCCTAACAATCTTTCCGTTTACTTTAGAGACGTGACAACAAAAATTAATGAGAATTATTCAAATTAAACCTAGTAGAAACAATCTCCGCGCACGCAAAAACTACTTTTACTACACTGCGCCCGAAAAAAAATCACTCAAAATGACAGCGTACATCTTGGCTATAATTAAAAAACGACGTCATTGTAGTATTCTATGAATGAAATGAAGATAGTATTTATAGAAGCTAAATCTGTTTTTAATTATACTGTTGCATCAAACTCTTTAGGTAATTAATACAGAGCAGACATTTAAGGAAAGATAATTGCATTACTTTTCAAACTGTTCAGTTATGGATCATTGTTAGATAATTGCTTATTTTAGATATAAACTTTTTTCAATAGATAAAAAACAGTCCGACGTAAATTTCATTAATCAATAATCAAGTATGTTGTTTGGCAACTTTTAATGGTAGTTTAGTATTTATACCTACGGTTTTTAAATTTAAGGTTCTTATTTACATATTCGGATATGTGAATATTTTGTTTAATTAATTCTAATTTGCTTAGATCAGTGGAAGAATTCGATCTTCGGGTTTTATCAGTGGTCTATGGTCTATCATTTGGTAACATTTTTGTTGCAAATAAAGTGACACCATTTTCAGCGAAATAAAAAAAGGTATTTTGGTTCAGTGAACCTGGAAACTGAGTTTGACATGACCTATTACGATCAATTTTGATCGTTTTTTAAATCTACTAACTAAATATACTTTTTTTTAATAGTCTTGCTCCGTTCTGCCAATCATCGCAGATTCCCCTAAAAATTCTCAAAGGAATCGTTTCTGAAAAGTTTATCACATCGTAGATGGGCCAAAGAATGTTCAAGTAAATTATTTTGTGTTTCCAAGAAACAAAAAGTGAATAATTAACAATAATCACTATCACCTATAAACTTCCTGTATTCAGGCAATAGGTAGGCTGCTTATCTCGTGAAGATATAACTATTTATTATATTATATCCTTACAAGAAAGTAAAATTTAAGGTGAAAACGAATTGCTTTAATGGCACCCTATAACCTTTTTATTATATATCGGTCGTTTCAGAAACATTCAACTAATATGCGGGTACATTTCAGTGGAAAGTGTTATTGACCAGAAGTTTGGATAAAAGATTCCTTATAGAAATGGGAATCCCTCGAAATGAGAAGCAAATTTTAATACGCAAATATTGAAAGCAATAGAACAAACGGAAAGTTTATCATAAAAACGACGACGAAATTTAATACAAAAGTCGTCGGTAAAATGGTAAGTTAAGTACTCGACTCCAAAGGGGCCTCGTACTTCAATCTTTCTTCGCCAGTAATGTGTAATGTGAACTTCTGAACTCTTGGTAAGATTAACTGAATTTTGCAGTGATTTTCTTGATTGGATAAACTCCACCTGCATTACGACAGACCTTTTTGATTAATTAAAATATCGTACCTAAAAATTGTTGTCTTTCATTCAGCTGAAAAAACTTTTATTTCGCACACCCATTAAAATTTTAGCGTCGTGGAAACGTTTAAGAATTTAAACTGTTGTCAACAGGAAATAACAAAATTACATCAAATTACGTTCTTTTTTTTTCATTGTTTGCATAGATTAGTTATGAACTTCATTTTATAATTTTAAGCGTTTTCCGATTTTAATTAGAGATTTGGTTAATAAATACATACGAAACATCTTACCAAATATCACGATCTCCTACCTCGTAGGTATGTAAGTTAGTTACAAAAAATAGTCACTTTCACTTCACTCAATAAAATAATGCCTTGTCATTTAGATTTCCAATTTATTTACTATAGCAAACACCACATCAAATGATTTCTTGAGTACGGACTAACCAATGTCTAATAATGTCTGTAAAACAAAACTGCGAGTTCAAGATTAACGTGGAAAATACAGCAATTCATAATTGAAACCGAAACCTCGTTTAGCCTGTTAAAACAAAATGTTCAACGAAATGTATGTTTTTGTTGTTTGAACTATGTACACACTAAATTTACTTTGTCTTGAACAGAAAATCTAACGTTAATTATTATTGTTGTAATTTCACGAAAAGTAATTTACTAAGGCGTGTAAATTATGATGTTTATGGATTTAAAGAATTTTTTGTTATAGTATTTACAACACGCCTGCACGTGCATGAAAAGGCGATTAATGCACGCCGAGCTTTAAAGGTTGCTAGTACCTTACTTCAAATATGACATATGAAACTATGATCGGGGCTGAATTAAAAAATCCTCTCAGATCCGATTTTGCAGGTACCAACTTTTCTCCTGTTTTTGCAACAAGCCAGTGAATCGTGATTCAACCAAAGTCATTTTATTTACAAAGTCAAGCGACATTTCCATGATAATCATGGAAGTAACGTCAATATGACTTCATTTTATTCCCCTTATTTTTTAATTATATTGCAGGTATAATAAAAAATACCATAAGAAAGCGTGTATAATTTGTATTTAAAATTGATATGTGAACCTAAGTTTCTACAATCCCTATCTTTCATGTTAAAAATGTTTCAACGCCGATTAAACCAAAGCTGATGCGCACGCCACCTTGGAATGCTCGCTACGGATTAAATTTAAATGAGCCAATGAACGTTCAGTTACCTTTCGATCAACACAAATCAGCGGACGCTGTGGCGTAATGAATCTTTTTAATTAATTTACAATTTTTGCGGTCATTTTCGGAGATGCATTTTTTATATGTTAATCGGGATCATGCCTACTACCCCATAACACAAATTTTGTTTCCAGGTTTGTATAGGGATACGCGATAGATTGCTAGACTATTTGTCAGTCTTGACGTTCGCGGTGAAAAATAGTAGTAGGTATTATCGTTTGCGTGGTTTTATGAATTCATAATAACACTACTATTATGAAAGTCGTAATGACATCCAAGTGGCCATCCTGAATATGTCATAAGGACACCCTAGTAAATTATTTCATTTATTTTTTATTGATAATTTACATGGTGGTTAAAATACTAGTCTATCTATAGCCACATAAACAGACCCCTAATTCCCGCTGTCATAGCTACGGGAGTTATAAAATCTAATTCCCTCTGTCACAACAATAGGACTTTGACAATTAATTGACATTTACGGTAAAGTGAAACACAATGGTTAGTTGTCAATCGTGTAATATAACAATTAAAACTTACAGAAGGAACTAGAATGACATTTCATAAGGGGAACCATGTTATATTTCTTAAAATGGTCTTTTTTCACGATACTTAACTTCATTCATTTTGTAGGTTGTGATACAGATCCATTGTCGTAGCAATTGTGTGTAAAACACCATTTTGAAATACATCTAACAGGTACTTTTCAGATTTCCTTTAGATAGTGAATGGTGAATCCTAGACTTCTTGGGCTTAATCTCTAATTCTTATTTTTTAAAAACGTTTTCAATTGCCTCTAACTATAATCCAAAAGAACGTCTTAGTATTGTTCAAATTCCAATAATAATGTGTATAAATAATACCTTGAAATGTCTAGGTTCTCTCGCAGTCTCGCACACGCAGCATGGATCCAAGCATGGAGTAGTAGGTCCACAAACAAGACGGTTTTCCCTGCTTAGATCCTTCACTAAAATACGCCAAAAGAATTTTTTCGTTCACAATCTTCAAGGAATTTTCCGATCGCCATTTACAAAAGTTGAATAGTATTCGTTTTCATATAATATTTTTGAGGTCGCCGGCACTAACCCCTTAAGAGCATCTTCAGCTTCTTTTATTCCTTCCCTGGGAACATCATCATCTTCATTCCCTTTTCCGTTCTTGAACAAAGCCAAACGACACAAAAATTGCTTTCAAAATGACAGACGCAGTATTTTTTGCTGTTTTTATACGTAACTAGGTAACCATTGCAGTCGCAGCCAACCCCATACGCAACAACGCGAATCGGATGAGAAATTTTTATTTGCAAATTAATTTACGAGTATTCGTTTGGCATTTGAACGATAAACAAGTGAAACGCTCCGTCGCGAAACAAAAATAAACGGGTATCATTGTGCGCGAGTGATATCTGGCGACCTTAAGACGGTCGTAAAGTTATCGCGTAAAAAAAAAAAACATGTATTCACAACAAACCGTACCACAATCACAAAATGAAGTGATATTAATGCAACAAAATAATGCGCTATTCCAAGAAAATTTTCAACGTTCGCAAAATGAACAGCAACTTTATAATAGCTGGAAATTAGTAGAGAACGAAAAGGTAAGTGCCATGAATAGGGCGGATCAACTCCAAACTCAATTAAATAAAATCCATAAAATGTATGAAGAACTGAGCAAAAAATACTCAGAGATAGAAAACAGGCTGTCTAATAACACCAAAGAAGAAGAGGAAAAAAAGACAGCTGAATACCACACAGATGAAGAGGAATTAGCTTATGAGACAGGGTCCGTCAAAAAAATAGGAAGAAGAGAAAAATGAATACTTCGCTTACCCCACCGCAAAAACAACAACAAGAACAAAAACAAGCTGATAGGAATAATGAAGAAAGACCTAAAAAAATAAAACCACCTCCACCTATCCTAGTAGACAACATACAGAATTTCAATGAACTTCATGCTATGATCAATAAATTCACTAACGCACAGATTAAAGTCATTAACAACAAAAATATTAAAATTAATGTACAGGACGAAAAAGATTTCAAAATGCTTTCTGAAGCATTAAACAATCAAGAATTTTCTTGGCATTCTTACGAGAATAAACAAAATAGGCCAATTAAAGTTATGGCCAACAGACTGCACCATTCTATAAAATCAGAACACATAGTCCAGGAAATGAGAAAACGTGGCTACAAACTTCTTGAAGCCACTCCCAAACTAAAATATAAAA